GCAAAAATTCTGTGACAACTCTTACAAATGACCTTTTTTTGGTCAGTGTCAGTGTCTCATAATTTTTAAAAACAAAATATTCATATATTACCGACATGGTGTTCTTTTTTTATATTAATTCGTCTGTTAAATGCTTCTAAAGCGGCAGACGCCATCATCCAACAACATGTCTGGGTTTTCCTGTTTGTTTGTTTTTTTTATTGTGGGCGTTCCGCATAGTTCTGTTGCACAATTCTGATTGGGTAGAACAAAAGTATGCTCACTCAATTGGCCAGTAAGACTGTCACAGACAGCAGTCATGCATTTGCTCCGAGTGGGGGGAAATGAAAAAATACATATTTTATATCGCAGCCTTTTGCGATTAGCTAATCATATTTCAAATCTTGTTTGCACAGCCCTACTCACAACAAAGTTTTTTAAATTCATTTTTTACGTTTATATTTAAATAAAGTTTAAACTTTTACAACTTTTTATTGTTACTGTTAGTTAGGGTTGGGCCGATAGACGATGCTGTTGTCCACCGCCGATGACCAATAGACAACACAATGCTGAGCTGTCATCGTCGATCCTCAGACCCGCCCCCGTCGCAAACCCACTCGCGAAAAATACACACTTGGCCCTATTTACACTAATACGTCATAGGGTTAAAACGACATTTTCGAACAAAAATGATCCACATCCACACCGTTTTACCTAGCATTTTTGAAAAGCCCTCCATCCGCTAAAAACGCACTTCATGTGACCACACACACACACACACACACACACACACACACACACACACACACACACACACACACACACACACACACACACACACACAGACAGACAGAGCCCCACACACTGTCATGCACTCATCTGAGCTCCAGGCAGAGTAGTGCACGTCAGACAATTTATCAAGGATGTACTGTGGATCATGTCTCATTAAAGTTGTTAAACGTGATATTCAGACATCCCAAGTCTCCCGGAAGTTCCGGGAGTCTCTATGCATTTGCGGGACTCATAATGTCTGCAAACTAGTGATAATCTCCTGGAAATTGCACGTCTCCCTGCCGGTCCTCAAATAAGTCACGCACCCTTCTCACCCCCGGATCCCATCTTGCTCTGCAGACATGTCGTGCACACTGGTACATCCCCCCTCCCCCCATCATCCATCGCAATGTTTTGCATTACACATCTAACAAGACCAAATTGGTCGACATCGGCCAACCCTACTGTCAGTTTTCCAAGACATCAGTATTTTGTCTTGAACACGGGATGTAATTTGTGATGTTTATTCTTACTATTATATACATTTATTTTACATTTTCAGCACATGATTTGAATGGAAACAAGGCAATTTACTCATACAGCATGTGGCTTATGTGGTGTGCGATGCTCTATTATTTCAGCATCATCCTCGTCTCTGACAGAATGACACAGCGCGATGATGAATTTCTGTTTTGCTATAAATCCATTATGCAGCGTGTTAATAACAGGAAGGAAAGAAGCAGAAGGTCAACATCAAGTCTGACACACAGTCTTGGATCTTCCTGAACTTTATTTATTCAAACTCAAATGAGTATTTTGTTTCACCGCGCTCGTCTTGACACTTTCCACCCCCAAAGAAACCCACACGCACACACTTGGACGATCAAGTGCAAACGTAATTACTGCCGAGTGCTGTCTAATTGGCCACCATTAAGCATTTAAGCAAACATTTCCACACTCCAATGTCACCACACTGTCGTTTTAACTGTTATCATCCCCCTGTTCGTCCGTCAGCACCCTCAGCACTGCCAAACACACACCACAGCACCATTTTAATGCAGAACGGCTAATGAGAGAAAGAGTGGAATGGAATTCCACAAAGCCAGACGGGAGAAAAAGAAGCAGGAGAGCTGCCAAACTTTCTCTCTCTCTGCTGTATTTTTTTTTGCGGACAGCCTTCCACAGATATCAGCCTTTGGTGCCAAATTATTTGTCTGGTGGCTGGGTTGTGTAATTGCGTGGATGTCCTTCCCGCTTACTGATCCCTCGCTTGTACAGACACAACTTCACACAAGAGCAATTCAGCTGAGAGCAGCGAAACAGGACCGTAATGAACGTCAGTAGGTGGCTTTTAGGAGATTTCATTTGTGTCCTGTTTGGACCTGTGTGATTAATGGGGTATGATGAGACTAAAGGCTGATTTATACTTCTGCATCAAGTGTATGCTCTGGTGCAATCTGTGTGCGGTCGCATAGCCCTTAATGTGGCTGATGTGGACCTTTAAAAAAATGTAACTACACGTTGCAACGACACATAGCGCAAGTTCTGTGATTGGTCGGTTTGGTTGTGCTGAGTCTGAGGAGTGTGGGCAGGGCTGAGAGCCACGCGAATCTGGGGTCCGTTCTTCGTACCTCGCTTAAATGATCTAAGATGATTTGGCAGATCCTGGATCTTTTAATCTTAATAACTTGTCTCTTGCTAATTTGGTTCTTTAAACAAGTTCGCGAATCAGACTAGAATGTCTGGATAAACTGATCTGAGATCGCTGCGTTGTGAAGTACAGATCTATCGATCCTCGAAATCATGATCAGCAATGCAACGATTGGCTGACGGCACAGCAGCGTAATGACATCATCTGATTAATATTCAATTATCCATGTGAGCAAAATTACATCAAATTAGCAGGAAACGGTTTGTTAAATATGACACGCGATAACCTTCCACATTTGTTGTGAGCTGCAGGCTTTACACTGTCATGTGTCAAGAGTATTCATCATGTATTTCAATGCAAATTAATGTATTTAGTTCTACATTTAGAAAAGATTTTCTTTATTATAGTAGCCGTTTTTTAATAGGTGTAAATAATAACTGGATGTTTACAAAAGCATTTTCATATTGGTAAAGGCGTCTGCAACTTTTATGAAACATCAAATTACTGGCATATTAACTATCAAAACATATTTAAAACTGCATAAATGTATTATTGCTTTTAGAAAAGTCACATATTGTGCATTTCTATTATACACAATTTGTATTAAAGTGATCTAAAAAGTTCATATCAATAAGTTTTCTCTTTGCACCACCAGGTGGCAGTCTTTGTACTTTCATTTCGAGAGTGCAGATTGCATAAGTTTTATTAATATATATAACTTTATTTTATTAATAACCATAACTTTATATATATATAGTTAAAAGATATTTACCATTTTCCCGGTTGTGACTACTACTGTAAGAAAATATCAGAATTCGGAACATACTTTTTTGTATTATCTTTGCTTGAACTGAGCCGATCTAATCCTGTTTATATGAATTGAACCTGCTCCCGATCAGGTTTGACCTAGCAGAACTGTTGCTATGACAACAACTCTCGGATCAGCTTTGAAGAACGAAACGATCCTGGATCGTGTCAGATCGTCAATATCCAAATCCAGCTAACTGAGTAATCCACGTACGAAGAACGGACCCCTGATGGAGCGAGTTTACAAGTGTTGAGTCCTGTGAAGGAGCTCCAGATGGAAACTTTTGTTTTGTGTTTACCTTTTAATTAAAGTTGTTGCATGTCCGCCAATTCCCACCTCTGAATGAGCGAGTTTGAGCTACTTATACATTAAGATAGCGTTCAGAAAAAAACAAAACACCTACGAAGAAACTCAACACAGAGGAACAATAAAACCTACTGCTAGCTAGCGTTTTGGAAGTGTTATTGCAGAGCAACACAAACAGCAGCTGAAGTATAAATGTACGGCAATGCGCAAGGCATGCGCCGTGGGTCACTCTGATCACTTGATCACACAGTGATTGTGATTACACACAATTGTACCCTTTTGGTGGGTGCAAAAAAAAACAACAACAACAATGACTAAAAGAGATTTCAGCTAAGTCAAATGAAGCAGGATTAAGCACAAAATTATTAGTTTTGCCACGCTTGTTTTCACAAACTTCCATTATCACTTCAAATCATTTCACCTTCAATCCTTACATATTATTTATACACCATTTGTACACTTCTTTTAATGGTTTGATGCATTCAGTTGCATCTTCGTGTAGGGGAATTGCAAAGACTAAAACCAATGCAAATCTTCCATAATTTGATAATACTTTATGAACCTAATCACTTTGTCAAGATGTATTTGCCAGTGGATTCCAGTATTTAAATTTCATCATAAAAGATACTATGAAAGGTTTTAATGATGTGCAAGAGATTTCAGATATTAAAGATTTCGGATATTAAAATTATGTGACAAGGATAATTGCATATACTGTAGCATTTAGCTGTTGCTCACTGTCTGTTGTGTATGTAAAGATCATAATGAGATCTCTATTACTGACTGTGGTTATTTGGACATCAGTAGTTTAATGATTTGCCTTAATCTGAATAAGACGAGAATATGGTTAAGGTGTTTCCATGAGTTGTTTTTTTTAATGTTCTTTTTATGTTCCCATTTTACATGTTATAGTATAGTCATAGTCGATTAACGTCAGTACGTCTCCATTCGCTGTTAGTTTACTGTGGTGTTTTACTCAACAACTGTTCATGTTCGCCATGACACCATATGTTTTGGTCGTTTCGCTTTTACTTTTGCAACAAGTTCAACTGCAGGCAATTTTCCTCACTATGCATGCTAACCGACGACGGTGGATACAAATTCTCATGCAATAGGCCACCTCTGCCATTTCATTGACTTACTTTTATTCATGCCTCTGAGACAAAGACGCACTATTTTTTTTATGCGCATATTCAAAATGCACATAAAAATAGGTGGATGAAAACATAGCTACTGTAGCCTGTGCAATTTAGCATTAAAACTTTATTTATATGATAAACTTTGATTGAAAAAAGAAATAGAAAAATGTTTTTTGACTTTTTTAGTAGGTTTTTTTATTGCAACACATTCAATTCAGATTGCAATTTTCTTTTGCTGTGCTGCTGCCTTCTGCTCTGCTGATAGTGGAGAGAAAAACACCGACCGATCATATTTCACATTGCAGTGTGGTTTATCTAAATAGTGTTTTGTTTGTGTCTCTGTCAGGTACAGAGAAAGTTCGTCAAGCTCTGGGTTGTAAACATCTCCATGTGGTAAATCCTGATTGGTTGTGGGCTTGTTTGGAGCGCTGGGAGCGAGTAGAGGAGCAACTCTTTCCTCTCAAAGAGGACTATAACAAATCACACAGGTATTTATCTTTTACAGCCTTCTACTTCTTTTTCCATCCTTTATGTTCACTTGTGGCTTTCAGTATGAAGTAGGTATTGTCAGTATTTTCTGTTGTGACTGCTGAAATTTTCATTGTGTTGTTCACTCATCACTACAACGCTCATGAATAGAACATGAAGCATTCAACAACTTATTATTTTTCAGCTTGCACTGACACTTGCAATATTAAAGTAATATTAAATAAATCAGTTTCCCTAAAACTTCCTCATGGCACAGTAAGGGAGATGCTTAGCAGAACGTTGATGTAAAGTGAGCGCTGGCCATGAGTCAAGCAAGATTTTTTCCATCTGCTTGTTTACACATAGATTTCATATTTCTTCAATCGGAACTGAACTATGTGTGTGCAATATGACGATTTTTGATGGAGGATGATTAAAATGTCTCCATGATCTGCTTTGCGAGGTATATCATAATATCGTGCTTCTCATTATACACTATAAAAAAGTTGACTCAACTTAAAGTTGTAAGGCAACTTGCTGAAGAGCTTTTTTGAGGGCCCTTTTACTCCAATACGTTTTTGTTTTAAGATGGCGTATTAGAATGAAAACGATCTACGTTCGCACTGGCATTTCATCTAGCCTTTCTGAACAGAAAACGCACATTATGTGACCATACATGCACTGAATGCTGCTTCTGCATATTCTCGTGTCTGAGCTCCAAGCAGTCAGCAGGAGCTCTGAGCACACTTGTCCGGCTGAGAGCAGCTGAACGTCGGCCAGTTTGTCCCGAATTTGCTGCTGGATCTCATCTCTCTGTAGTTGTTAAACACGATTTATAACTCATCTTGTGTAGACTTTTATTTAATGAGTCGGTCTTTTGAATCTATTAGCCCACTTGTGCTCAGGTAACGTGTTTTGGCCGAGCGTAAAAACAAGTTAACATATTAATTTATGTATGCTGAGTCTGCATGTTTGTTTAGAAAGTTTTGAGGTCTGTGTTTAGGCAGCTTATACAAATAAAATGAAAGACTACAGCCTTGGCTGTATAGTAAAACAAGAGAGCAAGATCTCATGTAATATCGGAGATCATGTTAGTAGCAGATGTTAATGCTGACCAGTAAAGTCAAATAAACCTTACCATTATGTCACTAATTTACATCTTGCAAGATGTTTCCTTCCACCCAAGTTAGATCAGGGTGAAGGCTAGGTCATGTCAACGTGACCCATGAGACACATCAGGTGGCATCAGTTCAATTTAGAGAAGATGGGAGGTTTGCTTTTCACACCTTTTGAGGAAAAACACAGAGATCGCACTTTGCAGATACAAACACTTGGAAAGAACATCTAGTACAAATCATAAAGATTTGTGTACAACATTTTTCAAATGTCAAGCTACAGAAAATACCCAATTAAACAAAAAATAAAATGTAGATACAAAACTTTATATAAAACTATTACTACATAAAGAAGTAGCTTAACTTATAAGTAGCATATGTCAGCATTATAAATATAATTAAAAGCACATTTGTAATTATAAATAATAATAATGATGATGAAAAATAATCAATATAGAAAATATAACAACATTAGAAATGTTTATGTACTACATTCTGTCATTTATTAATCACCACAACATATGCATCATGTTAAAATAAAGTAGTCTGTACCCCACATAACTGGTTGTCATAGCAGTTGATCTTTATGTTCATGTTTATTATTATTATTTGTTTCATTCAGGAGCAACAGTCCCGGTGCATTTCTAGACATCCATGGGTCTGCCCCGAGGCCTCCCTTCCAGGCCCCTCAGGTTCAGCCTAAGCCGCTGCCAGCACCCGAAATGCGGACCTATGATCCTGTCACTGGCAAACTGATCCGCCGCGGCCCCCAGGCCTCCCGCCCACCTTCATACCTTCACTCACATCCTTCATCATCCATGTCGGCCAAGGGTGATCTCTCAAACCTCAGGTACTTGCTATATATATAATTTTTATGCGAAGTCTGCTCATCATAATGTCAGTTTTATACTAATGTTTTGTTTTTCATTCAAAAATTACAATTCTGTTATTAATTATTCACGTAATTATTCCTCGTGTCTTTCCAATCCCTCGAGACCTTTGTTCATCTTCAGAACACAAATTAAGATATTTTAGATTAAATCTGAGAGCTCCCTTATCCTCCATAGGCAGAAACAGTCATGAGACATTCATGGCGTACTCACACTATGCTATCCGAACCGTGCCCAAGCCCATTTCCTGGATCGTTTGAGAAGTGTGAGTGCTCTGAATCAGGCTCAGGTACTGTTCACTTGGCTGGCCCTGTCCTGGCTGTGCCAGAGCGGGGTTCACTTGGACCCCAAAACTGAAGACGAGGCGTGACTTTTACATGATTATTTCATATGGATTTTATAATCATTCTTACTGTTCAATGAACGCAGAGTCATATATAATTAACGACGCAAACCCCTCACTACACGACAGCTGCACCTTTAGCAAACCTCCTAATTCCTGCAGCATTAGGACTTTATGATCGTTTACGAGTGTCAAAAGTGGCTGACCTGTTCTGCGAAATATTTGACAGCATGTCACTGCATCCCAAACGACTAAAACAATATACCTAAAGAAATCTCCACTGTGCTGAGAAAATGGAGTTCTCTACGGAACAGCGCATGATCGATCACTCAAGCGTGCCCAGGCCCGAATATAATGTGAGTGTGGGCCGTCGGGGACACAGTAGGGGGGAGACAGGAGGCGTGCTTTGGCCCGTTTTAAGGCAACTGTACATAGTGTGAGTACGCCTTCAAAGTCCAGTAAAGGACCCAAAAACATTGTAAAATTCAATGTGTAATCATAAGAAGCTCAACTATAGACGACGAGTCTTCGCTGAGGCCAGCCTCCAGCCTCCACCGCTGAGACTGCAGCTCTGCACAAGACTTTTGGCCAGCGGAGAAATTAAAATGGTCTTGCCGAACTGAGTCTGGTTTCTCTCAAGGTTTTTTTTTTCTTCACTCTCCTATCAGCGAAGTTTTTTTTCCCTCTCCGCTGTCGCCACTGGCTTGCATGGTTCAGGATCGGTAGAGCTACGCATCGATGAATTTGCTCTTCAATGTTTGGACTGTCAGTAATGATTTTAAACCACACTGAACTGAGCTAAACTGAACTGAACTTAAACACTAAAAACTGAACTACCCTGATCCAGTTATTATGACCATTCATGTGAAGCTGCTTTGACACAATCTACATTGTAAAAGGGCTATACAAATAAAGCTGAATTGAAGTGAATTGAACTATAGCATGGTGCCACATCTACTACAGACAATATAATGCTTACATATTGGGACTCTAATGGCAATTGGACATATTGTCTATAGCACCCTGATCTGATGGGGAAAAGAAGACATTGATGTTTTGTTTTTTTGGTGCATAAATGTGTTCTTTAAGCTTCATTGTTTTTGGTTCCTTTTCTGGACTTCAAACGTCACAGGACTGTTTCGGTCTATGGTGGATGAGGAAGACGCTTTTCCTCACGACACTCATGCAGAAACAATCTCACACAGGCTAAATATGCCAAAATAACATCTAAATACTCATCTTTGAAACACAATGGGAAATGTCTTAAGTAAAAGTAGACAAGTTGAGGAAAAAAATTCTTAGCTTATTAATTTTTTTTAATTTTAATCAGCAATAAATAACAGTATTACTGTTGCACTTGCCTAAAAAATCTTTCTTTGTTCTTGAAGCTGTTTTGATCCCATATAATAGTCTTGTATAATTATATATTTTTATTTTAATTATTGACTTCACTCTAATGTTTTAACTATGCAAGTTAGGTTATTTATTTTCTTCTCTAATGCTAAAAACTGTCATTATTATTGGTTCAATTTATTAGAACGTTACGTGGATAAAAACGTGGATGAAAATAACAAATATGCGTGTTTTATTTGTTTACTATTTTTTTCACTGGGTACATTGGCCTGATCAAACCAGCAGTAAAAATTCTTAACCCCAAAATAAGTATGATCCCAAATTTTATACTTGAATTAGGTTTTATACGTCACAAATTATGACAAAGTATAAGATCATAGTCAGAATTGCATTGCAGTTCAGTTGTTTCCAACTGAAAAATTGCTAACAATAAAACAACATATTATACTACTGGGCAAATATATGACCGTTTAAGAATTTGCAACTCACAGGAGCTATTGTAACTCACCTGATCATGTGACATTCAAACAATTTAATTAAAACAATCTATTTTTTTATTTTAAAATTTATTTTTATTTCTCTTTAAAAGCCAACAACAAGACTTAAAGAGCTTTTAGAACAAAAAAACAAAAAACAAAAAAAAAAACACACACAAACACACACTCACATTTGTAACCAGTGGGTTAATGCTTGAGGTTTTAGTTCTGGCAAATTAAGAAATGAAGACATGCATACAATTGTATTATTTAATATAGCATTATTTTAGTATCACGATTTTTTTTAATACAATTTTTTAAGGTATCGTATTAAAGTTTTATCATGACAATACTTCACAGTACATTAAGTTATTTAAAAAGAGCAAGGGAAATAAAGTTAGGTCTAACTTTATTTTAAGTGTTGCTTATTCCTGTAAATTTACAATTAACTAGATGTGTAAGTAGTATGTAGTTACATTGTATGTACACACTGGTACATAGTATTGACTTGTGTAATATTGGTGTAATTACACACATGTAACAACCTAGTGAATAGTTTAAGTTCAAATGTGTAACAGGACATTACTAACACAATCTTTGGCAAACTAGCCCTTAAATGTGAATTACGGATGTGATTCTACAATTTACCTTAAAACAACATATAAACATGAGGTATTTGTATATTTATATTTACACATACATTTTTTGGCAGAAGTGTGCTGTTGGTAAACAGTTGCACAAACGTTTAGGTTTTATATATTACACAGTAATTTGTGACCATTTTATACTTTATATTCAGTGGACAGTTCCTGAGGATTTACCCTGTAATTACCCTGATATTAATAAGTGAAACCTTCTGATGCAACGTTAGTTCTGCCATTCTTATTTTAATACAGTGTTGAAATACATGTCATGCAAACAGGTGTTGAAGTGGGAAAACCCCTGCAAGAATATTGTTGTTACACAATGCACTTATGTAATTCTTGGTACAGATGTGTACTTTCTTATTGTTGTTACCAATGTCCAGTTACACGTTTGAACTTACACATACTATTAACTAGGTTGTTACATGTGTGTAGTTACACCAGTAATACACAAGTAAATACTGTGTACCAGTGTGCACATACACTGTAGTTACATACTACTTTTACATCTAGTTACCATGTAAGTTCACAGGTATAAGCGACACTTAATATAAAGTGTGAACAGCCCCTTTAAGCTATATATTTTTTTGCCAAATTATGTTAACCTGCCTTGTTAACATAATTAATCTAGTTATTTCTTTAAATGTCACTTTAAGCTGTATAAAAGTGTTTTGAAAAATATCTAGTCAAATATAATTTACTGTCATCATGGCAAAGATAAAACGAATCAGTTATTATTATAAATGAGTTATTAAAACTACAATGTCTAAAAATGTGTTGAAAAAATATTCTCCCCGTTAAACAGAAATTAGGTAAAAAATAAACAGCATGGCTAATAATTCTGACTTTAACTGTATTTATATTTCTTAGGCATGTGTATGAAATGTATGTCTTTAAAGCCGTGTGTAGGCCATGTGCTGTGCTTGCCGTTTCTTTCGTATTGGATTTCTCATGCTGTCTATTTCGCATTAATCTCTGAGCTCTAAATAAAATCTGTGAGAAATAAAGCATTGCGCCTTGGCAGCTCTGAGATTGTGAAACAGAAATTATTAGCAAATTTCATCAGCACCTTTGGCCATTGCTGTGACAAGGGAATAATAAAAACAAGCCTGTAAACGCTGATCGAATGAGAGGAGGAGAATTCTGCAGCTTCTGCGTCAGCATCTGATGAGGGGAGAGAGAGAGAGATGAATTAGCAATGAGTCCAGCTTAGGAACAATCATTATTTGCTCATTATTATTATACTGACTTTCTGCAGTGATCTTCAATGAGATCAATGACTACAGCTATCAACATGAAGACAAAAAAGATCATAAAAATGGGTCTGTATAACTATTAGGATCAAAAGTTGTATAGTTTGATCTGTTATCTAAAGGTATCTTAACACTATAAAGATTACTAATACTATAGATAGAGTAATTGAAGTATTACACAAGTCTCGTGTAGACCATTTATTGTATCCTTATGATGTTTTCGTGGTGCTAAACTCCTGCCCTCATGAAATATAAATGCATGGAAATTTATAAAAAATGCGTACCTCTCCAGATAATGGATGGAGTGTGTATTAACTGATTGATTCATAGGTTTCTGCACTCATTGGCCACTTTATTAGGTACACCTTATCAGTAGCGGGTTGGACCTGCTTTTGCCTTCAGAACAACCTTAACCCTTAATCTCCTGATCCACCACATTCCAAAGAGGTCATTTAAGTACAGTTAACTTATTTTCATGTTCAAGAAACCACTGTGCAATGATTCATGCCATCGGAACACTGTGGTAATAAAGGGATGGACATGGTCAGCTACATTACTCAGGTAGGCTGTGTCGTTGACACGATGCTCAGTTAGTACAAATAAAATGTCCAAGAATTGTGCCAAGAAAATAGCCCCTATAGCATTATACCACCACCACCACCAGCCTGAACCGTTATTACAAGGAAGGATGGATCATCAGCACCTTTGGCCATTGCTGTGACAAAGAAATAAAAAAATAAGCCTGTAAACGTTAATACAAGGCAGGATGGATAAATGCTTGCATGTTGCTGATGCCAGATTCTGGCCCTACCATTCAAATCTCGAGACTTATCAGACCTGGTAGCGTTTTTCCGATCTTCTATTGTCCAATTTTGGTGATCTTGTGCCAAT